TATTTTTTAGACAAGAAAAGAGGGGGTGGGCCGTGGGAGTGGGGTCTGCGTCTGCGCCTTCGGGGATTCGGCTACGCTTGTGGGGGCGGCGACTGCGCATGTGAAGCCGCGGATAGCGACCACTCGACGGGGTATTCTCGTCATTTTCGCTCCCCTACATTACAACTCTACTCTTAACTCTCAACTCAACCACCCATTATTGCTATTAAACAATTTAATAATAAATCATTATTATTACAAACAAACAGCCAGGGCTAGCAATGGCATCCATACACCACCAATAAAATTGGATGTTCAAGTATACCACAAATATATTCATTTCAGCTTTCGTTAAATGAATAATCAAATTGAATCTTCCCCCTCTCTCCATGTTTGCTTCGCTATCATTTGCTCCATTTTATTCTGTACCGCGAAATCTTGCCTGATTAACAATATCAATACTATGCGGCGGTAATTGACATATATTTTTTAATTAATCCCTTTTACTTACATTTTGTGCTCAAAAAATAATAATAATATAAATATTATTCTTTCGAAATAATTATATCAATGTTATCTATAATTTGTAATTTTATCATTTATAAAAGAGTTCAAAATTTTACCTACAAATTAGTTTTACGTGTTAAATATAGACTCAATTTTTACAAGTTCTTATCATCATCTCTAACATCAAAAAACAAAATTCTTCAGAGTTATTTTTAATGGTTATTACTTAAAGTTTACTCAAACTTATGGAACTACGAGAATTAAAAAATAACAGTGAACCATCAAATGGTATTTGAAATAATGGCTTTAGTTAAAAGAAGAAATCTCATCTTTTTACTCAAGACCGAATAGGACCAACTTATTATTCTATAAAATGAATTTACTTACCGATACAAATAAGCATTAAAATTTTCTATCTACTAAGTTACCCTTTGAAGACCTTGACAAAAAGAAAACGAAAACTACCTTTTTAGAACTCCATGATTCCAAATTTTCCCCTCAATCAATTTTGATTTTAATTCTTCTTAGGTATGTGTACTGCAACACATGAAATCTATTCCCATACTTTAATTGGGAAAATAAAGACGCCCCTAATTTATGATTACTCTCCATGTGAGCTTCCTTTCGATGGCATTATTTCTGGTGTTATGCCACCAGGCATTCCCTTTTTCCTACCAAATGATTTGAAATTATAGATAGTCAACCTAGCAACAAGTCCAATCACACACATACCCGTGATATGGTTTTACTTTTACTCGATGATTCCAATATATCAAATCACTCGAAATTTCATACATGCTACTAGTTGAATTTCAAGATTTCGTCACATTCAATCAACTCGAAGAACAAAATATACACTATGATTTAATTTTACTTTTAACCCGTAAAGATTGACAATTTTTGTTTTTAACTTTTAACATTGTATTTAAAAGTAATTTGTGTTCAATCTTATACATTTGAGATATTATGCTGGGCCCATTTTTTTAAATTTTAGAAAACTACAGATTTAAAAGCTTGTTTGTTAATATTCTTGTATCTATCCTTTTCTTGAAAATAGTGCTTATTTACTATTTTTATTTTAATTTAATTTTTAAAACAATGATTTTCAAATTGTAGCAAGTTTTGAAAACTTAAAAAAGAAAAAATTGAGTAGGATAGCGAAAGTGTTTTTAAAAGGCAAAACACTCGGGGTTTAGTACATTATCTTTTAGTTTACTTTTATAAAAAATAAATAAATAAAAGTCTTGTGAAAATGAACACAACTCTCCCATAAAAAAGTTGTGGGTTCAATTCTCAATTTCACGTGTTATATAAAAAAAAACAAAAAATAAAAGTCTCATAAATTATTTATCTCAATTTTTAAATTTTGTGCATGGTTTGAAAATGGTTCTAAAAGCATATTATACAAATAAAGAAAACTGTAGATAAACAGTATTCTTTTTAAAAATTGAAAACGAAAAGAGACAAAATGTTATAAAAAAATCCTAAATAAATACTTGGATTTAGTGTTTGAAATATTAAAAATTGCATTTATATATACAAGAGATTTAAAATTTTAAGATATATGTCCTTAAAAATACTTAAAGCCAAACAATTCATACCACTTACTTGAAGTTTTAAATTAATTAACATTTGTTGATTTAAATAAATGAGGTCCATGAAACATAGCTTCTCAATCAAATGTCATGAATCCCACACATAC